TTTTTCGTTATGATAATATACCACAACGTTTAACATTTTATTATGGGCTTCCTGGGGCGAATTTCGCCAATCCCTATACGTTTCTAAAATGCACAAACAACCCTCAAAATTTCCCTCAAATTGAATGAGAGAGCTGTGAGCAGTGGCAGTTTTCTGAATGCAATTTTTCGTCATTTTTACATCTAAAGTTTTTGTCCTTAGCTCCTGGACTGCATCGGAATGGCGAATATGACCATCAGATGGCAGAAAATGTCAGTAAAAGTTGGATTTCGTTCATTTTGTCGAGGGTTTGCCTTGACAATCCCATCAACGTACAACCAACCGTCGGGTGACGCGGATGAGGCAGGCGTCAGAACCAATGTACAATACTTTTTTCTAAATTACACTCAAATAAAATTCCAAAAGCTTAACCCAGAATTTCAGCCTAAAACCGTTAGTATAGCAAGTACGAGTCGGACGCCCTAACTATCCGACTGTCGCGATCCCTTTTTGTTTTCATGTTTATTAAATTTTTGGAAGTTTTAAAGTTGTAAGTAAACGTCAGGTTAACAATAATTTGGTAGTTTTCGCTGCCGTTTATACCTATAAAAACAGGCCTGGAGCGATTTATCATATTTTTTCACCGATCGTTTCAACAACTACGAATTTGAGAAACGTGCATCACCCTTTGGACATACAATTCACATTAGTAATCTAACTGAGGGTCTATTATATTACCCATCGTCCCTCTCACACTTCACATCCAAACTAATACATACATTCACTCTCAATACACACAAAAAAAGAAACAAAAGACGAGATATCTATCAAGTACTATTTTTTATTTCAAAAAAGGGGTTTCAATAAATGCTTAAGTTCCCCCTCCCCCAGAATAGGAAAATGTTGTGATTCCCCTGGAAGGAAGAAAGGAAGACCAGGGAATAGCAATGAGCTTAAGCCTGGATCCAAATTGGTCAATTAAAAAGCAAAGTTTGGAGTGCAATAGAATTTGAACTAAAAAAAGAGAAAATAGAAGAAATACAGCGGAGGTTTGGAACACCGGCGGAGAGAAGATGAGGATAAAATGGATAAGAAGGCAACGACGGGAGGCAAATCCGTTATGTCCGAGGCGACAGACGGGGTGAGAATGTCTGCGGTTCGTCGGATTTTCCTCCTCGTGAGCAACCGAGGCCATCCTGGACAAGAAGGGATTAGTATTGATACCCGGAAGGGGATTCGTAGCTGCAATGAGGAGTACGACTTCTCACCATTGGGGCGAGGAAGAGGCTTCCAAGGGAAATCAGCCGGAGGAACACCGAGAACGTGCACCAGTGGCTACACCAGATGCGTTTTCGATGCTACAAGGACGAGGCTTTTGTATATTTTTGTTTTGATAGCCTGTAAGTGGCGCAGAGCGCAAGTTTATATTTCTGTTAGTTTGGTTTATTTTGTTGGTTAACTATAGTCATTAGATTCACTAATTTGAAAAATGGCAAAAAGGAGGGAAAACTCATAAGGTGGGGTTGAGATAGGAAGTTGATGCCCGAGTGGATCGAGGTCACGATAACTCAAGAGGTAGAGCAGCGGCGTATCTAGCCGAAGATCGTGGATTCGAATCCCGCTCGTGCCATTAACTTTTTTTCATCTCAACTAAAAACCTTAATTAATTGTAATATAGTCATTAGTTGTATTTTTTTTATTAGCAAAAAAAGTAGTCAATTCGTTCGTTAGTTTTTAATAAAGCTGTAGATTTTGTTTTATAATTTGAGGGTACTATATTTTATTTTATTGGCTACAAAACCCAACCCTCCGTGTGGTCCCCAAGGGTTCAAGGTGCTCCTCTCTTCTCCTGTGATGAAGAGTTTGTATTTATTTATTTTTTTAATTAAATATTTATCTTGTGTTACTTCGTTTTTAATTTTATCTTTCTATTTGTTAAAAACGACAGCGATCAGATCAGATCTAGGCTTTCGCTTCCAATGGGAGAACTGCGTAAAAACGTACTCGAATTTCTACGCGCAAAACGATACAAAACGTTTTTTGTCCACTACCACAGTATTTTTGGTTAAATTTGTACCCGCTATATATTATAATATTATATAAAAATAATAGTATAATATACATTAGAATATTTCATATATCGGCCGTATATATTAGAATATTTCATTGTATTGAAATTTACATAATCTTTTTACAAAACTTATAGAACGAAATATATATTATTTATATATTTATTCTATTTATTTTCCCGTTGGTCCCATAAATATATCCTCTCCTGGGTGAGAATTTTTTTTAATTGTTTGTAATTCTGTTTTATAATTAGCAGGTGTTAATGATTTTTCGACATACTGTCTATGAGCCAAATGAATCAATCAGCATTTTGAGTCCATGGGTGAAAAAATCATAATTTTATGTGTTTGGATTGTCCGCCCGTATTTAAGCGAATTCGCATTTTTCGTAGACTTCTGCTCCCATAGGATGCAAGAGCTTAGTGAACTTTTTGATGTGAAGTTGTTTGGATTTTTCATGAATAGCCATGGGAATAGGTAATTCTTTTAATTCAAGAAATTTCTTTTAAAATATCGAATTAAATATGAAAAATTCGACAAAATCATTCAAAATTCATGTCAACAACAACGGAACGACCACTACTGAGGGACAAACAAGCCGGTTTCAATGTGAGACCAGCCTAACACCACTGACTATCATCTAATCCAGTGATGCTGCATTCCAATAACAGAGATACTCACCAACGCGCCTGACTAATCAAATAAGCATATACCGGTATACGTGTATAAGCGTATACAGAGAAAAAAGATTTGGGCAAAACAAACTAACAAAAACAACTACCATTTGCATAAATAAAAATACACTTTTCTTAGAATGTAAGACCTCCACGTTCCAGGTTATCTGTTCGACTACCCTGAAATGGATCATAATAGGCTAACAACAATCATTAGAAGGTCGCACAGAGGAAGTTGATGATGGTAGATTGGTAATGTTTACTGTTTATATCACTCTTCCGAAGTCAATTATCTGATGGGCTTCTGATGTGTAATTGGATGGAATCGGGAAGGCTAGGGGTGCGGGTGAGGGTGTGGGGTTTCACAAAGGGTGCCGGGGATGGCATGAAAAGTCGAACGGCGAACGAGGCGCGGGTGCGGGTGTGGATGCGAGAGAGGGTGGAATTGAATGATGTTTCCCCGTGGAAAAGGCCACGCGCCGCCGTGAAATTAGCTACTGCCCCGCTTGACATCCACTCCTCTGCATCCTCAAATCTTGCTTCCACACGGTCCCATCTTGCTCCCAGAGAACGGCCCTCGCCCTCGCCCCCGTCCTGGGACCGGTTTCGCTCAATCTCATCATCTGGACGCGCAATTCACTTTGTTAGCATTATCAGTCTAATCCCACTTGGGAGAAGAATTGAAAATTTAATCCCGCTGAAAAATATCGACTTGCACCAACAGACAGACTTGTTGATACCGTAGGCCAGGCATGTATGTAATCGTTGGCTCGCGAACCCAGTGGGATACTTTATAGATCAAACTACTTCTTTAAAACTTCATATCATCAAAGGAAACCTAGAAACACTTTCACAATTAAAGTAAAAACTGAGGGGATTCCAATTAGAACAAATCTTTTATTTTGTTAAGCAGTGGTAGAATTAAAACTTCCAATCAATTAAAATAAAAGAAAATAGTAAAAATCTAACTACGTATTTTGAATAGCTGGACGATATGATGTAATAATGGTTGGAGTGACTGAAGATCTCTATTTATGGAAACTTCTGAATAAGGATATTACCGGTATCAGGGGGAAACAGAGAAGCTCATTCAGGCCCTTAAGAGAAATAGGTTGAGTAAATTTTGTCCTCTAGAGTATAAACAATTTACCTCATTCAGAAAGATTGAGAAAAAAAAGATTCAGTATTACGTTTTGTTTGTTAAATATATATATTACTTTGTTATTTCCGCTATTAAACAATTGGGGTATTCAAGATCTTTGTGTTAACCCTTTTAAGTCTGATAGGTCCTGTTAGATCGAGAAAAATTATGACGTAGACTTGTAAGAATCGGCTAGTTAACATTGCTTGATCTAACAGGGTAGATTGTTAGATGTTAGGTCGAATATGTAGTCACATTGCTAGCCGTTAGGGCGTAGGTAACCAACATGGCAGCCATGAATCGAGCAGCTGCTTTTTGTTTACACGTATTTTTTATTCTTAAATACGCATTAATTAAATCAGACCAATACATTTCTTTTGTTAATTTCTGACGTGTCCTTACACCCTCGTTCATAATAGATACATCCCATGTTCCAAAAGTTGTAGGCTGTTTGACGTTAGGATACAAGTTACGTCGACACGATTGCGGAAAAAGTAACATTTAACATGCTATGAAAAGAAGGGGGCGTTCACGATCTTACTGGACATTTCTCTATTCGAGTTAACACGAGTTAACATCTAACAAACATCGTGAATACCCCTAATAACTCAGAAATTACCAAAAGAAATGTATTGGTCTGATTTAATTAATGCGTATTTAAGAATAAAAATACGTGTAAACAAAAAACAGCTGTTAAATTCATGGCTGCCATGTTGGTTAACTACGCCCTAACGGCTAGCAATGTGACTACTTCTTCGACGTAACATCTAACATAGGCCCTGGCCTGTTAGATCAAGCAATGATAACTAGCCGATTCTACAAGTCTACGTCTCGTTTTTCTCGATATAACAAGACTTAACAGAGTTGGTTAGGGTTAACACAAAGATCGTGAATGCCCCTAATAGCGATGAAATATGGAGTGAAAAGGACATATTAGGGTGAAACATGACTCGTAAGTAATTACTTAATTTAATTAATTATTTAATTAAATAGTATTTAATATTATATTTTGTATAGTAATATAGTATAGCATTTAATATAATTAACATTTTAATTTTCCCATCCACCAATGTAAAACGGAGAACGGATTTTCGTATTTGTTTGGTTTTCTTGAATAATTTGTTTAAGAATTTTTACCTGTACTCGTGCTTCCGTGAGGTCGATCTTCATCGCAATTTCTTCTCTGGTGTAAATATCCGGATAATGCGTTTCTTGAAAGGCTCTTTCTAATTCTTTTAATTGTGCCGAAGTGAACGTCGTTCTAATCCGCCTTTGTTTTCTTTTTTCCGTCAGCACGCCTTCGTGAGAGGGGTAGACTTTGTAAGGCAGGCCACCTGAAAATACACCAACTGTCATTACGTTTCGATTTTATTCTACTTTTGAAATGCATCTGTTTGAAAAGACGTGAACAGAAGGAAAAGGGGTAAATCTGTGAAATAGAATTTTCCAAATGTAGTGTTTCATTACTTTTTCGCGCTTCTTAATGCGAGCAAGTCAGAAAAGTTTCTTTTGTGCAATTGTTTTTCTAAAGATAAAGTCTAGTTGAATCAGTCATTAGGAATGATGTTTCCTTTCTTCATATCAAAACTTATACCCAAATTCTATTCTATTTCTGAAATTGGTTTTTGTGGAATATATTAAATACATAAGTACATAGTAAGTTAGTCAATGAAGCACAAAACATACAGATTTAAAAGACAACGTGGGCCCCATTTGCCGAATGGCTATCGCGTTAAGCCTTGTTCCCATGGCGTGCGGCTTGACGAATCTCGAGCTCTTGTAGTCACCATTGGGTAAATTTTTTTTATGAAATCGGTGTTGATTTAAAAAACAACGCTAGTACGGTGTAGTAGTAGGATTTATAGATCAGGCACGCCAAGCCACATGCCGTGGGAACAAGGCTTTATACTCTCGGCTCGCCGACCCTGTGGTCGTGAGTTCGATTTCCACTGTCGCCCCTGGAATTTTCTACCACGCGCCCCTTCCCCCGTATAAACCAATCAGCGTAAGTACCGTTTTACTCTGGCTAATATGGGAAACATAAGCCCGAATTTTTGATTATCGCTACTAAATAAATATGCTTTGCTTTTAACCAAATGTTAACTAAAGATATTGGAATGTAAAACAAAGCAGAAATAAAATAACGATTCAAAACTTCGTTTGAAGATATAACTACTAATCCTGGAATTATCTTAATTGTGTAGATATTATTTTCAAAAAGGAACATATTTTTTTGTAAATAATCGTTTTATATTTATAGTTGTGTTAGATGCCACAGATACGACACACGAATAATTTGGACCATTGTCAGGCGTAATGTTATATTATTATTTGTTATTTATTTATTTTTACCGGGGATTGGAAAAGCTGAGGTCATATCAAGCCCGGGGTGCTGATTTTTTTGAAAGGAAGACCATTTAGTTGAATTCGGAACATTGGCCGCTGGATTCGAATTTACCTACAGGGATGAGCGCCGTGTCAACGTCTTTAACCGTTGCGGCCTAGTCTAATATTGTTTATCATTTTCATTTTTTAGTTAAATAAAATATTTATTATTATTACCAGAAATAGTGATAATACTAGCATTTATTATTGTGTAATTATGCGGGATAGTTGCTAACTAAATGAGGTTTCTCCTTGTTAAATTGGATTAAGGTGTTGGTCCCGTTTAATCAATGTGGCTATATCCAGAAAAACTCGGCTGATTCAGTTGCTAATAGATGGTAATAGAAAGTCTACAAAAGTTTAATAATGTTTTCATGAATAATCGTGAATTATATCTATACGGATCAAAAAACATTTCGGGAAACATGGGATACCGCGTTTGTGAGGGCTTTATGTTGATCATCATATGCAAATCATAAAATAGGTTTAGCCTGACCAGGTGTTTTTAGCATTTCGGTAATTCATGACAAAACTTGTTGAGCACCTGCCTGTTCAGTATGAATATAACCCTTCTTATTGTATTAGTACAGCCCTAATATATACTGATGGACAAAACAAACGCATCACCCTTAAAGTTTGATTTTCACACCAAAAATAGGTTTAGTTCTAAAAATAATATTCTAACAAATTATTGGGTTGAAAATTAAAAAACAAATAAAAATATTTAACAAAAGACGGTTTGCCCCCTTTAATACCGAGATTGCCACCTGTGGCACGATTCGCGTCCGTTCAAAGCCTTTGCATTCCTTGGAAAAGATTTCTAATAAAATCCTGATGAATTCTTGCCCATTCATCAAGAAGAGCCGTTTCCAACCAAAGGGTGAGGACCTGGATTTGGCCGTCGAACTCGTCGCGAGCTGGCTATACCAAGCGCTCAATTCCAACTTCATGTCCACCGCATTTGTCATGCACAATTCGTGCTCTATAGTGCCTTATCCCGAATTAACAAGCATCTCTCACTAATGTGAGGGGCAAATGGCACTACATGTCTTTGATTATTTCTTGTAACTACTTCCGTGAAGTTAGAGATCTTCTTCGTACAACAACCAATTCGGTGGGGGCGTCCAAGGAAGGCCACCCCACAACATTAATGATCCACCAAACCATAAACATGGGGCGTACCTTTCTTCTGAGATTCTCCACAAGAAATTACGCCCATTTGAAGATTTGAAGCCAACTCTCACCTCATCAGTAAAGAGAACTCGCGTCCCTAATCTTCCAATGCCCGATTCACATGTTCCCGTGCGAATTGAAGCCTGGCCATTCTCTGAGCTGTGGTAGGAAGAGGTCCACCAGCCAGGTGCGCATGTCGTAAAGAGACCGACTCCTTCTCTAATCGAATTTAATTGTACTAGTATTTCTGTTATACCAAATTATTGATGTAAATCATTCAAATTTGTGCCAATACGAAGTTTAAATACCGTTTAAATCAAATCTGTCCCTCCGGAATGGGAGCAGCAGAGTAAGATTTCACCACATTTTGCAGCTATCGGAAGGATAACTACTGCCTAAGTATGGAGCACCAGACAATTGGTTAAGACGGTATTATTAAATGATAATAAATGTCGGCCTTTTTGACATATAGCATTCCCTGGTAAAAATAGGCAGTACCATGCAAAACTGGCATTTATGGCTAAGCGTGATCCAGCAAACACGGTTTCAAGAAGAGGAAATAGCCTCTGCCAAAGCATGGGTAACCCCGAATAATATAATTTATTTCCCATGGAATTCTGCCTTTTTACTTATCTTTGGCAATCGTTATTAATGACAAAAACTCACATAATTTTAAATTCAAAAACATGTAGATAACCTTTCGGAATACGTTGACACATTTAACAAACGTAAATGGTTAGGGAAGTGGGAAGTGGGTGTTCATGTTCCTCAAACATTACAGCCTTCTGGCTTATTGTACTTTTCCTAGTTCCTTAGTTCAGTTCAACTGACTCGATCCATCTCTTAAGAAGTCATTGAATGTCGTTGAAACATTTTTTTATTGTATCCCAGGTTATGTCTCCATTGAGTGGTTTCTTCGCATTCGAAGATGACATGGATGGCTGTTTCTTCTTCCTCATTGCATAACCCACAAATGGGATCATTATTAAACCTACCCATGTAGTTGTTTTCTAAGATGCTAGTGACCGGTATATAGTCCTACCACTCCTCTGAGTTTTCAGTCAGGGACCGCGGTGGCCGAGTAGTTAGGAAGTCTGACTTGTATTTGCCACGCTAACGGTCCTGGCTTCGGATCCTGGCACAACCCATTGGTTTTTAATTGAGTATTGTACTGTAAAGTGGTTTTACACCCTCGTCAGCGAGATCCTACGAGTTGGATGTTAAGCCCCTGAAAATTATTTTATACTCTTATGTATATACCCTTCTGAGTTTAACCCTCTCTAACTGAAGCAATAAGTTCGCCAGTTTTTATGAGGGTTCTTTTAATATACGCTTACTGTGTGTACCACCTCTGAAGAGCACAGTTTATTTTCGTCATCCCAAGTATAGGTTCAGGGCCTATACATAGTCTTGCAGATCCTTTTCTTGCCAGTTTGTCGGTCTTTTCGTTCTAAAAATTCCTCTGTGTCCCAAGGAATGATATACCCAAGATACCAGTATCCCCATACCCAAGATATCAGTTTGTTGCTACTACCCAGATTTTGAGATTTTGGGTGCATTCACTGACTAATATGAAAGTAATTTTTCTACGTGGTAAATAGATATTGATATTATAATAACACACAGCACAATCCAATGGCGGCAAATTTATCTTGTTTATCCATTGAAAATAATAAAAATTCTTTACCAAACGGCATCTAAGTATAAGAAGGTAAACCTATTTCTTTGCATTTTTCTATGTTTTATTTAATCATTGGCAAATGTGAGTGCTTTGAAAAACAATTTTTTGTTTTTATTTATTATTATGTTATGTATACATCAGCGTCAAAGCGCTAGAACCAATTTAGTTGTTTTCACCAATTTTGTATTACATATAACATTATTAGAGTGGAGGAAATCGCGACGCCCTAAGTGTCTTGAGGATTGTCGGGGAGGGCTTGGGTTGAAAGGTGTTCGACTAGGAGGTTGGGATGACCATCTAGGGTTTTATGGCGGTGTCTATATCACTTCTTCCGGTTTCGAGGACAAATGGGATTTTGGGGCCTGTGTGGATAGTAAGGTGGTATGAAGTGGGACGCTTGGGCAATGGTTTATATCATTGTTCAGTTCTATTCTTTTGACTCGAGTATGGGGGTTCGATGTAAGTATTTTGTCGATGTAAAGTCCCAAATAGCGTATGGCATTTGTTGCTGGAAAAGGAACAAAGTTCTACTGTTGTAGTAGATTGGAGGAGTGGCAGTACAGCGAAGGACATACGTAAGTTTTTTACAGACAATCTCAAATTTCCTTGAAGACCGACTCAGTCCTAGTATTACCAAGGTCTTTGAAAAAAAAAACTTTATATGTCTATCTGTAGACATATATAAGATTGTTTTGCCTTGATGATGACGTTAAAATAGGCCGAAAGCTTGGCAGTACCAACTGAATTGCTTTTTTCTTCAACCTTGATCCAGAGGGTTCGTGTTTAAGTATTTAGGCAGTTTTCTTTATCCTTTCACAATCAATTTAATTGTCGACAATTGTGCGAAATAACTGTCTCTATTTCAGGGACGGTTTGAATTGTCGTTTATTTGCGATCTGGGCTTTTCCGGGCCATAATCAGCAGGGGCATGTGTCCCGCAGCGAGTTGAAGTATTATCGGAGTCATCTACGGGTGGTGAACTCATAAACAAATGGGTCGTAAATATAAAAATAAATAGCGGGGTTTGAATTGCTTGGGGCGGCATGAGGTCGGGAGACGAATTAAGAAGAAACATTGTTCCATCGAAGGGTGAGT